TATATATATATAATAAAAGAGAAGTTAAGGTTACTATAGTAGCACCAAGTTTAGGATACCCTGCAGCTGAAGCATTTCTAATTAAACAAAAGTTACTTACCCATTATGGAAATCTAAGCACGTCAAGCGCAACTCAATAATACGTTACTCCGCTGGCTATCGGTACTAAATACAAGAATGCTTACGGTCCATTCAGTCTTTGCTCGTTAATCGGTTGTGATAACAGCAGACTCCCGCCCAGTTTTTGTAGTTAAACCGTGAACGTTTTCGTAATTTTTTGCAGCGCTTTATAAACTGCATTGCGGTGCTATAAGAACCTCAACGCTGCTTTCTGTGCAGATTTATTTGCGTACGTTGCTCTGTACCCGGTCATCACTGTCCAATTCAATATACATACTCTTCAAATTGATGAGATTTCACTGGGCCCAGATGGCGCCAAAAAAACTAGTGGTGAATTGTACGTTGGACTTGCGATAGTCGTGCTAGTAAACATGGCTAGGCAACGCTTTCTCTAAATTGCGAGCGCTGCCTCGAAAGTGGTTCGCTGCGTCACGACCGTTCGTTTATCAGAGTAACCACACGTTCACCGAAAGAACGTAAATGTCGAAGTTTGTAGACTTGTATTACACTGCATTTATGTCTGAAGCTTTTTCGACATCCTATTGAACCAAAGAAACGTAGTGTTTTCTTATCTGCCCCTGACACTGAAGTGGTGGGTATCCGACGTCATTCAAACGTAAGCGCCTGCGCCATATTGCTTCGTTCGGCTTGCCATTAAGGTCTATGACATCGGCACTGTGGAACAAATCGGGCGTGAATCGTATGACCGTTCTACCTATCCCTCCCGCGCGTGGATTTAAGTACCAATTCTGCCTATTCAGGAATAACCTTTGTAATCAACTCATAGTCAATAGTTGTACGAACTCGATGCGTTTGCGTGCGCCTCGTCTATTCAAGGTACCTTCAGCTCCCTTTTGTAGCTTTCTAGCCTAATATCTTGGTCTTGTTATATGCAATCTCTAGAAAAGAACCGAATCCAGTAAATGCCAAATAGTGCACAACAGGAAGTTGCGCTACAACCTTCCGAGTTCCCAGATCTTCGGTAAGTGCTTCCGCTGCAAGAAATCATCGCCACCGTTTGAGATTCATTAGAGGCGGGGTGAACCATCATTATCATTGCCATTATTATTCTTATTACTGCAACTATGAATAAGTGACACAGAGCAGAGATAGGTTTCAGCTATATACCATCAAACTTGCAATTAACAACCTATGGGATTTCCGATCTGTTTCGGAGTCTGCATCTTCGGCTGGCCGAACGATCGGTTTAGAGTCAATTTTTCCACTTGTTAATGCTTCTTGGATCATCTGTTAACACATCAAGCGTCGGTCGGGTTGTCAGTGGCAGGTTGCAGAGAAATGTGGAAATCCTTGGCACGTAAAACACGGCCTCAGATTCTTAGAGGTAATTGTGCCGTTTATGTAGTTCCAACACAAATACAATTTCGAAGACCCTATCGGCACTTAGATATGTTCATCGGTTTATCGTCCCTTTTAGGTTGTCAAGTATTTATCGTGTACGTTCTGCTACACATTTACGGATTTTTCACCAGACTTTCAAACGCTGTAGTACCAACAAAACTTCAATCGTCGGATTGTTGTAACAATGAAAGTTGATTTGATCATAAAGAAGTACGATTATAGAAATCTTGTTGCAGATTTACTTATGTATTTTTAGGTTCATCGAAATATTTCTCAGTATCTATTCTCAACCGAGCCGATAACTTCTATTCCGGTAATTTCCAATTTGTCTGAAACTTCTGAAGACTCATAACAGTGGTCAAACGTAATATGCTGACATAGATGGGTTAGCTACTGGGAAAGAACAACTGCTCATAAGCTCAACAACGGAAACGATGTTATGGGTTGCCCATCTACGTATGGTATATGGTGTTTATCGGTTTTTGACAAGCGTACTCACTAGCTGAAACGGACAGGAGTAATAATACATTTTGTTAAAATACGTAATCATCTTCTTGAGAAGAGAGTTCGTTGTCACCTATTTATCGATGCCACTGGCGAATGTCCGTATACTGAAACCAATAAAAAATTATATAAATGCAGACTATAAAAATGTATTGGTACCTAAATTATGCATTCCATGATCCGCATTTTGTTACAAAAAAAAACAATTTTTTTCTGTTATGTAGTGCGCTATTATCTCATACTGAATAAACAAGCACAAAAGTCCCGAACTTCGAAATTGATGCGTCTTTAAAAAGGCAATAGCGCGGACACATCGTCACCATTTATTCTACTTTCTCTCTCTGAGTTCATTGAAGGTTTTATATAGCTACAGTGGGGAAAAAGCTAATGGTTTAAATATCTATTCTAAAAGAAAATACGTCATTTACTATTCTGATTTTTTCAAAATATTTATTTTCAGCTCAGTGTATGCATACACCGGAGAGGGTAAAGCGGAAGAAGGGAGTCCCGAAAACTAAAAATGCTCGAATTCCTTTTCGTAAAGAATCTTCGAAGAGAACTCAGGCTTCCAATCGATGTTCCGTACCCATTGGGGTTGAGGATTTGGCTCAGGCGGAATAACTCTCTTCTTATACAATGTCATCCATTCGTAACCCCTTAGCCAGGAATGATTTTTCAAACTCAGTACCCCTTTTCCCTTAACACCTAACCTGTCTTCGGGTTGTTTCTCAAGAATTTCGTACAAAAAAGTTTCGATTTTCTTGCTAAGCTTGGCTATTTTGCGTATTCTAAACTTATTTTGAATTACCGCATTTATTGTTTCTGCTGGAGAACAGGCAACAAACGGTGTTTTCCGAAATACTAGAAAGTGGACCAATATACCGAGACTCCACCAATCAGCTCCCAAGCCGTACCCTCTGTAACCATCTGTAGTAGCGACCTCTGGAGCTATGTATTCAGCAGTGCCGCAAAGCGAGTAGGCTTTTTTCTTTTCATCCAGACGTCTTGCAAGGCCGAAGTCGGCCAGCTTGAGGTAGCCATCGTAATTTACTAATACGTTGTCTGGCTTTAGATCCCGATAGATAATATCCGCAGCATGAATGTATTCCAGCGCGAGAATAAGCTGGGCAACATAAAAGCGAGCCTCATCCTCGTTCAGTCTGCGCCGCTTCAAAAGGTCGTAAAGGTTTCCACAAGTAGCGAACTCTAAAACAAAATATAGGCAAGTGTTGTCCTTGAAGGCGAAGTAAAGCTTTATAATAAACTCAAAGTCGAGGGCTGCATGGACATTCTTCTCGTTCAATACCTGCTCTGCCAAGCCTGGCTGTGTAGTAATTTGGTCTTTTCTTATAATTTTAATAGCATATCGAGTGCTGTTGTCCTTGTGTTGAACTTCGAGGACACTACTAAATGAGCCTGCCCCAAGGTAACTAATTACCTTAAAGTGGTCTAAACTTGCGAACGGTATTTGTGGATCTTTCAGATGTGCCTGCAAGGCAGCAACCTTTGCCGATAGAAAAGTTCGGTACTTTTCAGCGTCTTGTATAACAGCATCTACCCATGTTACACTATTCGCTCTCAGTGATTGTTTACAGCCCATCGTTTTTGTCAAGTAAAGGCGTCTAGATCGTGCAGATGCCCGGCCCGTCGAAGGTGCCGATCGTTGTTGCCTGACACCTGCCAATAAGCCTTCTGGTGGACAAACCTAACAGGCAACCATTTATAATAATATTGCATCGTAACAGTATGCATCATCATACTACCAATTGATTAAACGACCTCCATTCTGGCGGTTGGATAACGGTTAAGTGATCACCACATAATAGCAGTTTATAGATTTGAGTTATTTTGGAGAGCAAGTTCAATTGGAGAAGATGAGAGCTCGCACTACCCACAGACGTAGCATCAACAATATCCCATGCAAACAAAAACATACCTCAACAGTCCAATAGTAAAAATCACTTTTTCGTTATCAAAGCTTAAAAGCCCTTAAGGCGGTCTGTAATTTGACCATATTTTTACACAGTAATTACTATTTTGACGTGGTGCACTTATAACAGGTATATATATATATATACCGGACCCGCCAATTGGGTTGCGGCGTACCTACGAACGTAAACCTTTTAGTCTGCGTTATAGCTAAGTTTCTCCTTTTCCGTAACTGCAAACGAATTTATATTAGATAGCCGCTCTATATTACAAATGCTTATCAAGCTTCGTAGTTTCTTCCTTCAACAAAAACCTACCAGAACCACGTATCAGCTCTAAGCACAGATATAATAAATCCAAACTGACTTTCCACCCTTTTAATATCGTCTTAAGTTCATCTGATCGAGAACGTTGCCCCCAGTTTCGAGATTTCCGCCCTAATGTATGGAACAATATTTACGTCGTATTATGCATATATTTTAAGGGCAATTGACTTTGTGAACGTGTATGACGTGACAATTGACTAAAATTGGTAATACGCGATGCGTATATTGGGTTTGGTCCTTAACTATTTTACGAATTTTCGCCACCCCTAGCCAACGAGTGTCTCGAGCCTACACATATATCGCGAGGGGTGGTAGAATCGCAGTCCTCTAGTGTCAATCACTTGCCCCTCCACCAGACCGTAAGTTGGCACCAGGCTAGTGGCTCTCTCTCTCTCCGATATAATAGAGATGTCAAAAGTTGCATTAGCGTAATTAAACGGATGCTTTATCCCGGGCTGTTTTGACACAGCTGAGCGACCTGCCTGTGTAACGGAGAGCTGCCCCCGCACCCCTCCTCCTGTATAGGTGTATATACCTATCAACAAAATATACACCGTACTCATACGGCTCTGTGTCGGTGGCCATTCCAAATAGCACTCTGGTCGAGCAAAAAAGAGTGAAACCGCCGGCCTAATTTTGTCGGTGTGTTCGATCGAGTAGTGTTGCTAGTTGCCAACCTATTGCTTGAAGGTCTTCTCGGATCTTTAAGGTAAGGCTGGTTTCGCAGTTCGGGGCGGTGGACGGGAGTGTACGGCAGGAGACGTTCGGGCCTGTGAGAGCATAGGTCCTCGGGAAACTGGGATTTTAACGACAGCTACAATCGAATTAGTATGTTTTTTAACTTCAAGCAACTGTCATTTGGGCTTGTACAAACGTACCTTGACAGCGAACATTAATTCCTTATTAGTAGCTAATTGTCAAGTAAAACAGTAAAAAAATCAATAGACAAAACTTCAAAAAATTCTACAAAGTATCGTATAATGTAACTTCCATTAGCTTTTATTATTGTTTGCTAATAAAAAAATTTTAGATAAAGTTCTAGATTTTAATAAATAAGTACATCTGTTAAAATATAGAATACTTAAAAGTAACTTAGTTTACTAGTTTTAAATGTGTCTTGAATATATATATAGCATTTTTTTCAAAACCGACATGAAGCAATGCTGACCTTCTATAGCCGTCATCGCTATTAGGGATAAGCGGAAAAAAGGTAAGAGGGATCTATCTGTACTTTCTTAGATTGTGCTTATAACTACAATAGTTTACCTGCTACGACGAGCACAGTTCCCAATTGAGAATGTATAAAAGAGCCAGATTCAATTGTGTTCCGGCGATTGGAAGGTGGTCAACTATACCGGAACACAGTGTAGCGCTATTTGTGTCCACGCACCAACGTAACCAGCAGTCAAACTATAATCGCACGTTCATAATAATTACGGCGCGTAGGATCGCATACATCGCTGCGTACTCACAGAATTTGCTCTCTATGACCCGCAGAAGCAGGGTGATCTCCGTCGGCTGGCCTCTGATGGCCGTGTCGAATCGGTCACTCGCTGCTACTGCTGTTAGAGCTTGCAAGAGACCGTTGCCGGAATTACATAAGAACGATCAGGCATGACTATGTACTGGTGCATTGTTACAGTATGGAAAACTAATGGCACATTAATACGAACACATGCTTGTTCCCAATAGTAGGTATGTACATACCGTGCTCCTTACACACGTTCGCATCGCCACGTTAGGGAACAATAGAAGCTCAAAAGAAATCAGAGTCTACATATTGGATTAATTTCTGTCTAGCAGATGTGACATTCGATATTGACCGGCCGAAAAAGAGCCTAGTGCTCCAAAACACTAGAAGGCGTCGACATGACCGTTCTACGCTCTAGCGAAACGTGTCCTATATTGCCTACTACTAAAACACAAGCGAAAGCTTCGCTAACGTTGCTTGAACTAAACTCTGCGGGTGCTAAAAATACTGGGTTTTGTTTACATCTGACAATAGCTCAAAACGAGTAAACGTTTTCATGTTGAAGCAAAAATGGGTTGCGCTATTATCCTACACGTATTGTGACCTTAGCTAGATAGACAAGTTCGCAAATGAATAGGCGCACAGCGTCCAGGTTCTACTCAGTGGCACTTCAACATGGCTCGTTTAAAGCTCATATTCAGAGACAAGTCTTGGATTCAGGAAGTTAGAGTTTTGAGCTGTTTTTGTGCCCGCCGATGCCAACATAAAAGGATACTGTTTATGTAGCACGGAACACTCTAGTGTACCTTTTTGCCAAAGTTCTATGTCATTGAATAGATGTACTCCACATTAAAATAGTCACAATTTGAACGCAGCGTACGACGGCCTCCCGAGTTGACTCAAAGCTCACTAATTGTCTCATTTGGAAAGAGTAATAATCCGAAGAACTCCTTAGCTGATATAATTACATTCTAATATACAACAAGGAAAAGAATCTTATATGTTATAATTCATATAATCGCCAGAGGCCTTTAGATCGATAGAGGAGTCGATCCGTTACATGTAACAGTTATATATTAAAAGTAATGGCACTGATAATTACTTTATGTTGGCCAGCCCACGACTACACAATTTTTACTAAGTGAAAATTTAGGGCTGAATAAACGGCGACGAGTAAATATTAGCCAGAATATGACAATCTGATTCTCACGTAGAGTCCCTGCTAGTGTTTGTGTTTTGTCGACCGGCGTGGTTCTGTACGCACGCGCTTGTTGACACCTATACTAATTCGTAAAGATCGTAACCCATCAAGCGGTTAGCGAGTGAGACTTTGGCATGGGTATTTGAAAAAAGCTGCTGTAAACTCTATCCCGCACAATTTTTGTCCTGCTACACAAGACTGCTTATTAAGATGGTTAGATCTGGGTTATTTTTACGCATGCCGTCCTGCTGTTTTAATTTTGTGCACAACATTGAGTTATATCAAAGGCCTTAAGAAAAATGGCGCTCTATTATCTTTCGACTGACTTTTGAGCTTGTTTCTGTTGGAACTTTAACAGTACTATAATGACTATTTTAATAACAACTCATGTTTATTAACATGTATATCGCATAACATGAAGTTAATTGTAGTATTGATTTATTAACGACTTTAATTATATATTCGTGGGACCTCTGGAAGGAGATCGCGGCTATGTAGGCCATTAAAGCAGTAACACTGGGCAATTAGACTCTCAAATCTCGTCTTTCCATTTACAAGTCCTAAATGCTTCACCATTTGATTTACAATCTGTTTTAAGCATAATTATTTTTGCTGCGTTTCACATTGGTATGGTGCAAATCTCAGTTAAGCCCTGAGGCTATCAGGCAGCGGGCTGACTTCATAGATATAGTAGGAGTAGCATAGTTACGCATGTCTTTGTGTCTGCGTCTCGCAAGATCGTTTCGACATTTCTTCTCTTGCAGTAGTCACAGCACCGCTTGCATACATCTCAGAAGTAGTTTCTGACCGTTCGGTGTTCGCTCCTTTTCCACCTCCCTACGCCCCAGCGAATGCAACCTGTCTGCAACAACTGTCTACACTCAAATCGCTCGTGGTCCTATAGTTCTCGCTTTTTCCTACGACGCACCCTGCCATTGTTAATCCCGCATTCTCGATCATCGTCCCTATTTCTTCGCCTGTTTTTTCTCCTGATTATGAAAACAGATCCTAATTAACACAGGTCTACTGCTGTTCACCAGACACCAAAGTGACTACGCAGCCTCTGCCTGATTTCAGCAGCGTCGGCCGTGGCAGCGTCAACCACTCAGGGCGAAGGCGACTGGCTCTACGGGAGCAGCAGTCTACGCTTGCTACCTTAGCCTGCGTGCGTTGCAATGTTATTCTATAGTCCTTCGGTGGCTAGCTCCTCATCGTTCTCCTTTGCTTTCACTCGCGACTATCGCTATGACTACTGCTATGACGGCTACGCTATATGCTCTGCAGACGCCGCTGCTACTAGTGCCGACGACGACGCCGCCGCCGACACCGCCATGCCATAATAGAAGCTTCATTCATCACCTTGATTAAGTAAAATAATAAGAAAAGGAGATTTTTTAATGCCAGTCCTCGACGCACTACACTTTCCTAGCGCTCAGCTTAGGTAAGCTAGACAGCCACGGCACCAACGCAGGGCTCCCGCAGCCTGGCAGCACGTCCCTCCCAAACTGATGCAATCTGCTTCTATACCATAGTATGCTAGTGTAATGTAGAAGGCTGGTTCCGTTCCATTTTCGCACAGCCTTAACCTCTCCTTTCTGCTTCGCTTTAACAGTGCACCGTCCGATCTTAGGCCTTCATAGGGTTTGAGCGTTACTCAGCTGCTTGCTTCGGCCGGGCATACAAAACCCGTCAACAGTGCATCTTGGGTAGGGGCTGTCGACGACTTTAACACCCCTGTTAATGTCGTAGCA